CCCGTTCTCTCAAATAAATAAATAAGTCTTCAAAAAATATCTCAGATATTAGAATTACTGACTGATTGTCCATACCATTTATTGTAAAATGGTGCTGCTGCTCTGGGATATGAAAAATCCCTTCAGGAATGAAACATTGGTCACTTTGGCTCAATTTGAGCAGGCTAAAGACCTGAGTGTAGTTCACTTCCTTTTGATAATAACACACAAAAATCTTTAAGAAATATTTAAGTTGAGAGAAATGGGGCACCTGGGTGGCTCAATCCATTAAGTGTCTGACTCTTGATTTCAGCGCAGATCTTGATCTCAGGGTGATGAGATTGAGCCCTGCTTTGGGCTCCACGCCCAATGTGATTCTTTCCCTGCCTCCAGAAAAAAAAAAGAAAGAAAGAATGACAAATTACAGAAAAAAGAAGAAAAAGGAATGCTGTCTAAATGTCAGAAAAAAATGAAACTCAAAGGAGTTAGAAGCATAGGACATTAAATTGGTGCCGATCAGACTTTTTGGTGGGACTAAAATAATTTCTTGAGGTGACATGTCACCATTGTGTAAGCTGTTCTTATATAGATGTTTTTTTTCTCTAGATGACATATAAATAAATAGGATTCCCTCTTTAATCATATCTGCGCATAAATATATAGAATTTTAATTTTTTGTTTGTATTTGTGTCACTTGCAAGTTTACTCCCTTTCTAATCATACTGGGGCAGTTAAGTTTGTCTGCCAAATATTAACTTGAAGAGTCATGAGGAAACATGTAGGAAATAGGAAGCTACATGCAAATTTTACACAATTAGCAAACAGACTTGATTTTATGTCATTCCAATTTATGTCAGATGAAAAGAATAGCATTTTCCTTATGAAAGAATTTCCGAGTAAGAAAAAAAATACCCACACCTAACATTCAGTCAAGTATTGTCCGGGGAATGTGTCATTATCTGTTTATATAATTAACTCTGAAATAGATTTGGAAAATAACTACACAGAAATTTTCTATCCCTGCTGGACTGAAGCAATGAGCTTGGAAACTTTTTAAAAGAAGGTTCAGCTTTTGAATGGTCAGTGCTTCATAGACTTCTTTATAAGGTCATCCCACCACCATTCCGGGGAGATGGGAAAAACCTGTTAGCAGCAGAGATGATTTAAGTCTTAGCAAAATTTTTATTTTAAATTAAATTTTTTTTTCTGACAGAGTGCACACATGCACACACTGGAGGAATGGGGTAGAAGCGGAGGGACAGGGAGAGAGATAATCTTTTTTTTAAAAAAATATTTTATTTATGTATTCAGGAGAGACACACAGAGAGGCAGAGACAGGTAGAGGGAGAAGTGGGCTCCTTTTGGGAGCCTGATGTAGAACTTGATCCCAGGACCCGGGGATCACGACCCAAGACAAAGCTCTGAGAGAGAATCTTTTTTTTTTTTTAAAGATTTTTTATTTATTCATAGACACACACACACACACACACACATACACACAGAGGCTGAGAGAGAAGCAGGCTCCATGCAGGGAGCCTGACATGGGACTCGATCCTGGGTCTGCAGGCGGCGCTAAACCTCTGCGCCACTAGGGCTGCCTCTGAGAGAGAATCTTTTTTTTTTTTTTTTTTTCTGAGAGAGAATCTTAAGCAGGCTCCATGCACAGCACAGAGCCTGACATGGGGCTCAATCTCACAACCCTGAGGTCATGACTCAAGTGGAAATCAAGAGTCTGACACTTAGTTGACTGAGCCACCAAGGTGCCCCAAGATTTTATTTTTAAGTAATCTCTACACCCAATGTGGGGCTCAAATTTATAACTTCAAGATCAAGAGTTGCATGCTCTACTGACTAAGCCAGCCAGGTACTCCTTAATAAAATTTTTAAAAATCAAAAGAGAAAAAACTTTCTTTTTTTTTTTATAAAGATTTTTTTTTATTATTTATGAGAGACACACAGAGAGAGGGGCAGAGACACAGGCAGAGGGAGAAGCAGGCTCCATGCAGGGAGCCTGACATGGGACTCGATCCCGGGTCTCCAGGATCAGCCCTGGGCTGAAGGCGGCACCAAACCGCCAAGCCACCTGGGCTGCCCAAGAAAAAGCTTTCTTTACATTAAAATCTAGCTATTAATTATCTTGATAGTTGAAAATCAAGCTTAAAATGTTCACTTTCAACATTGCTTTTAAAATATGATTTAAGAGATGCCAGTTAAGCATCTGACTCTTGATTTTGGCTCAGGTCATGATCTCAGGGTTGTGAGATGGAGCCCTGCATTGGGCTCTGTGCTGGGTGTGGAAACTGCTTGATTCTCCCTCTCTCTCTGCCCCTCCCCCAGCTTGTGTGAGCATGCACCTGCGCGCTCTCTCTCTCTCAAAAAAAAAAAAAAAAAAGAGTAAAATATGACTTAAAACAAAATACTTCACACAGTTTTCCTTTATAAGTGTTGATGGACACTGAACAAATCAGAATTGACTTTTGCTTGTTTAGCTGATAAAATTGAATTTCTTTAGGGTAATATTTTCATGTCCTTCTTTTCTTTCCTTAGAACATTGCTTGAATATGTGACCATTTTTCTTTTTACACTGCTTGCTTTATAATTGAAAGGGACTATTAGCCAAATTAGAGCTGTCTTGAGGTAACTAGTAAATCACATTTACCTAAGACATACATTGCCACTGAGGGTGCTATAATAAAAGTTGATATTCTATGAAACAGGCCTCTGGAACCTCAATATATTATTTAGAAGATTTTCTTCTGAAAGAGTGAAAAAGCTTTTAAGAATGAGGATCATCTTAAGATGAGTTATTATTGGGGTCAAGTCTATATCAATACACTAGAAAATAAGTTTATACTAGCGAGAGTATAGTGACCCTGGAAATCTCATACTATTGATGGCATTATTAATTCATAGAAATGTCCTAGAAATCTTCTGAATAATATTAATGAATGCAAAATGTACATAGAGATGATTTACTCCATAGGCTTACTACTTTTCCCCTGCTCTTCCTTCTCCCTCTCCTCTTATTCTTCCTTCCTCTTATTCTTCTTCTTCTCTCTTCCTCTTCTTCTTCTTCTTCCTCTTATTCTTGTTTGTCTTTTTAAAAAATTTTATTTATTTTTTTGAGAAAGAGCATGAGCAGGGAGAGGGGCGGGGGTGGGGGCAGGGAGAAGCAGACTCCCCTCTGAACAGAGCCTGATGTGGGACTTGATCCCAGGATCACAGGACTCCAGGATCATGACCTGAGCTGAAGGCAGACACTCAACCAACTGAGTCACCCAGGGACCCTTGTTTGTCTTTTCAGCTCCACAGAGTTGAAGTCATTTAGTCATTCACCCAGCGTATTCTTTTTCAGTGCCTATTTCAGGCACTATTCTAGGCTTTGGGAATACAGCAGTGAATAAAATATACCAAATTCTCTTTTTGGATAAATCTGATGGCTGTAGGACATGCAAGATAACATCGCCTACATTGGGACAGACCAACATCTTATATCTGCTGATATGAGGCTCTGAGGACACATCACTTCTGTAGGATTCCTGCTAAAAATGCATAATCTGAGTCTGATCATGAGGAAATAGACAAATACAAATTGAGGGACATCTGCAAAGAAACTGTCCTGAAATCTTAAAAAATGTCAAGGTAAAAAAAGACCACTACCACCACCAAGGATCACACCCCGGGCTGAAGGTCGCGCCAAACCGCTGGGCCACCGGGGCTGCCCTCTCTCTATACATTTAAATTACACCAAAAAAAAGCATTAAAATTTTTTCCTGGTGGAACTTACCTTGGTGTGTTAGTGGCTGGGTGAGGTGGGGGTGGTGTTTCAGACAGATAGTAACAAAATAAATCAGTAAAAAATATATTATGTTAGGGGCACCTGGGTGGCTCAGTGGTTGAGTGTCTGCCTTTGCCTTGGGTTGTGATTCCAGGGTCCTGGGATTGAGTCCCGTGTCTGGCTGCCCGTAGGGAACCTGCTTATCCCTCTGCCTATGTCTCTCTCAGGCTGCCTGCAAGAAGCCTGATGTGGGACTCGATCCTGGGTCCTGGGATCAATGCCCTGAGCTGGAGGCAGACGCTTAACCACTGAGCCACTCGGGCATCCCATCTATGTTTAGTTTTGCAGGAAACTCTCAAACTACCTTCCAAAATGGCTGTACCATTTTAATAAGCACAGGAATTTTGACCTGCTGCATTTCTGAGCTGGGCTGGTTCACCCCTCCTTAGGCAACAGGATGGTGCCTCCATGCCTGGGAGGTCGCTATGTTGATGCCCAACTTGGTGCAGACACCCAATTAGGAGAGTCCATTGCCTCCCAGAACTCCTGGGCTCCAGTGATCCTCCTGTCTCAGCCTTCAAAGTAGCTGGTGGCTACTGCCTGAGTGCTCCTGGCTGGACCATTTTGTACTCTCATCAGCAGTGAATGAGAGTTCCCATTGCTTCACATCCTCACCAGCATTTGGTGTTGTCAGTTATTATTATTTTAAAAATCTTAGCCATTCTAATGGATGTGTAGTGGTATCTCATTGCTGTTTTAATTTGCATTTTTTAAAAGATTTATTTATTTCAGAGAAAGAGAGAGGGAGAATAAGCAGAGGGAGCAGCAGAGGGAGAGGGAGAAGCAGGCTCTCCCACTGAACTGGGAACCCAATGAATCCCAAGACACGGGATCATGACCCAAGCCACAGGCAGACGCTTAACTGACTGAACCACCCAGGCGCCCCAGGAACCAGAGGATCTTAAGCAGAAATTGATGTAATCTGCTTTCTGTTTAATAGGCTCATTCTGCTTGCCGTGTTGAAATCAGACCAAAGACATAAAAGCAAAGGACTGGTGAGGAGACTGGTGCCAAAATCAGGGAAGAGGTGATGGTGACCAAGCCACTGGTGGTATTGAAGGATGAGGCATGACTGAATTCTGCATATATTTAGAAGATAAGGAATTTACTAATGGATTGGATGCGGGGGTGTGGGAGAAAGAAAGAAACTGAATATAGTCTGTTCAAAGATTGTAAACAGAGTCTGGAGCCAATTAAGCCAACTGTGCTCTTTCCCTAGAGGGGCCTGATGTGCCATGGCTGCAAACAGTAGCTTCCTTGGTAGTGCATGAAGCCTGCTGCTTCTAGGAGTTGCCTTAAGGGACCTTGGAGACAGAGGTTCATGTCTGACTTCATGCTATCCCCAGTCTAGGCTCCAGACAGGTATGTAAGGTGCCTTTGGAAAGCCCCAGAACACAGTAGCCAGGGTCCACAATGACCACGCCAGTATGTCTATCTGTGGCAAGCTGCAAAAAAGGGAGCATGTAACTGAGGCCCTATACAGGGCCAAGGTCAAGTTCCCTGGCTGCCAGAAGATCCATATCTCTAAGAAGTGGGGCTTTACTAAGTTTAATGGGGACAAATTTTTTTGAAAACTTGGTGGCTGAAAAGTGGCTTATTCTAGAGGGCTATGGGTTCAAATGCAGCCCTAATTGTGGCCCCCTGGACAAATGGCAGTCCCTGCATTCCCAAGAACCTCAGGGCTGCCCCCTCCTTAGTCATGCTCACTGATAAATCCTACTTCCTATCAACAATAGCAAAGATAAACCGAGGTGTATTCAAATTTTAAGAGTTTATTTGAACATTGATTTGAATCAGGCAGTGCCAAACTGGAAGCAGGCAGCAAGGTTTTCAAAAAGAAGCAAAGCAAGGAAGCTATTTCATTGGCTAGAACTTAAGGGGTGCAATAGTGGGAAGGTCTACTTGGCTGTGATTGGTTGTTCTTCTTGATCTGGAGGTATTTGCAGAACTGACTCTGGCTGAGGTTTCAGTTTGATTACGTAGGTTACCAAAGCCTTAGAGCCACCCTCAGTCTAGTGACCCTTTTGTTTGATTACTCTAAGAGTTCCAAGTTTGCTTAGTTCGTTTCCTAAGCAACTGAAGAATAGCAACGATTATGCTCTGTCGTCTTAGGTCCGTACAAGGTCCTCTTTATTCCTGACCCCCATTCTTATTTCTTCTACTTTGCTCACAGGCATCCACCAGTATGCTTGAGACTTATATATTATTTTGAGCGTTTTAAATTTACACTGGTTCCGTGCTATTGATTTTATTTTGTTTCTCACACTTTTTCCACTTGACACTATGTCTTAAGAGCTAACCACATAGCTGAATGTATATCTGCTGCATTAATTCTGGCTGCTTCTTAGTTTCCCACTGATTGGATACATTACACCTGATGGAGTTATCTTCTTGACCACCAGTGGCCAGGTTGCTTCCAACTCCCTGCCACTGCAAACAATGCTGAGATGCACACCTTCAAACTGGTTCTAGTAAACACCTGCGTGTAAGTTTCTGTGGAGTATATTATCAAAAGTGTGATTGCTGGGGCATATTTAGTTGCCTAACTATTTAGTTGCATCAGTTTACCATTGTAGACCAACAGCCTTTGAATGTACCCTTCCTTCATTTTTTTTTTAAGATTTATTTATTTTATTTTATTTTATTTTATTATTATTTTTTTTAAATTTTTATTTATTTATGATAGTCACACACACAGAGAGAGAGAGGCAGAGACACAGGCAGAGGAAGAAGCAGGCTCCATGCACCGGGAGCCCGACGTGGGATTCGATCCCGGGTCTCCAGGATCGCGCCCTGGGCCAAAGGCAGGCACTAAACCGCTGCGCCACCCAGGGATCCCTATTTATTTATTTTAGAGAAAGAGATTGAGAGGGAGAGCGAGCACAGGGAGGGGCATAGGGAAAGTGGGAGAGAAACTTTAGCAGACTTCCTGCTGAGCAACAGTGGGGCTTGAGGTCACCACCCTGAGATCATGACCTGAGCTAAAACCAAGTCAGATGTTTAACTGACTACAACACCCAGGAGCCCTCATATTCTCACTAATTCTTGATATTAAACTTTAAAAGTTTTATAATGTGGTACCTCATTGTTATTTTAACTGCTTTATTTGATTACTAAAGAGTTTGAGCATCTTTTCATGGATTTGTTAGGCATTCATATTCCTCCTGTAATTTGTGTGTTCTAATTCTTTGTCCAGTTTTCTATTGGATTTTTGAAAAATATTTTATTTATTCATGAGAGACAGAGAGAGAGAGAGAGAGAGAGAGAGAGAGAGGCAGAGACACAGGCAGAGGAAGAAGCAGGCTCTGTGCAAGGAGCTTGATGTGGGACTCGATCCCAGGACTCCTGGGATCATGCCCTGAGCTGAAGGCAGACACAACCACTGAGCCACCCAGGCGTCCTATCTTTTGGATTTCTTGCCTCTTGTTGATATATAGAAGTTTTCTCTATATCCTATTTTTAAAAATTATTTTTAAAAAAGATTTTATTTGAGAGAAAGAGAGAGAGAATGAGAGGGAGAAGGAGAGAGAATCTGAAGGAGACTCCATACTAAACACAGAACCTGATGCAGGACTTGATCCCACAACTGTGAGATCATGACCTGAGCTGAAACCAAAAGTCGTTTGCTTAACTGACTGAGTCACCCAGGTGCTCCTCTCTGTCTATTCTACATATGAATTCCTTGAGTTTTAAAGGGGACAAATATATTCCTCTAGGCTGTCACTTGTCTGTTAACTTTGTCTATGATGTCCTTCTTTGAAAAGAAACCCATTTTTTTTAAAGATTTTATTTATTTATTCATGAGAGACACACACAGAGAGAGAGAGAGAGAGAGAGGCAGAGACACAGGCAGAGGGAGAAGCAGGCTCCATGCTGGGAGCCCGACGTGGGACTCGATTCCAGGACTCCAGGATTGTGCCCTGGGCCAAAGGCAGGCGCTAAACCGTGGAGCTACCCAGGGATCCCTAAGAAACCCAATTTTTATATAGTGAAATATATACATTTCTTCCCTGATAGTTTATGGTTTTGAGAACTTCTTTACTACTCCAATTCAAGGTCACAGAGATATTTTCTATACTTTCCTCCTTATCTTTATTGGTTTCTATTTCAGATTAAAGCATCTAATCCGGGCAGCCAGATTAGATGCTTTATCTAAGCATACAGATATACTTTATGGGTGGCTCAGCGATTTAGCGCTGCTTTCAGCCCCGGGTGTGATCCTGGAGACCCGGGATCGAGTCCCATGTCGGGCTCCCTGCAGGGAGCCTGCTTCTCCCTCTACCTGTGTCTCTGCCTCTCTCTGTCTCTCATGAATAAATAAATAAAATCTTAAAAAAAAAAGAAAAAAAGCATCTAATCCATTACAGTTAGCTTTTCTATGTGGTATGAGGTAGGACTCCAGAGGGCTTTTTCTCCATGGAGCATGATAGCGCTCCCAAGATCAATTCCTAAATATCTTTTTTTCATTGTGAGAGGTGCCACCTCTATTGTATATGAAGTTTCTATGTACATGTGAGTGTGTTTCCGGATTGCTATTTTATTCCATTGATCTGTCTACTCCTGTGCTAGTATTAAATTGTTTTCTTTCTTTCTTTCTTTCTTTCTTTCTTTCTTTCTTTCTTTCTTTCTTTCTTTCTTTTTAAGATTTTATTTATTTATTCATGAGAGACACACACACACACACACAGAGAGAGAGAGAGAGAGAGAGAGAGAGAGAGAGAGGCAGAGACACAGGCAGAGGGAGAAGCAGGCTCCATGCAGGGAGCCTGGCATGGGACTCGATCCTGGGTCTCCAGGATCACACCCTGGGCCAAAGGCAGGCTAAACCACTGAGCCACCCAGGGATCCCCTAAATTGTTTTCATTACTGTAGCTTTGTGATGTGATCTTAATATCTAGTAAGAGAAGTCCTCCATCTTTGCTCTTCTTTTTCAAAATTGCCGTAACTACTTGTGTCTTATTCTTTGTATTTTTTAGAATCCGTTTGTCACATCCCTCTCAAAATCGTGCTGGAATTTTTTTTTAAAAGATTTTATTTTATTTACTCATGAGAGATACAGAGCGAGCGAGAGAGAGGCAGAGGGAGAAGCAGGCTCCATGCAGGGAGCTCGACGTGGGACTCGATCCCGGGACTCCAGGATCACACCCTGGGCCAAAGGCAGGCGCTAAACCGCTGTGCCACCAGGGCTGCCCTCGTGCTGAAATTTTGACTGGAAATGTATGCTAGGTATGTGATATTTTTAGAAGAACCTATAGGGGTACCTGGGTGGCTCAATCAGTTAAATGTTTGACTCTTGGTTTCAGATCAGGCCATGATCTCATGAACTGTGGGATCAAGCCCCGCATGGGGCTCTGCACTCAGTGGAGAGCCTGCTTGAAGATTCCCTCTGTCCCTATACCCACGCATGCACTGCACTTTCTCTCTCTCTCTCTCTCTCTCTAAAATAAATAATAAATAAATCTTAAGGAAAAAAGAAGAAGAACATGTGGATTTCTACTGGTAAGCTATTCCACATGAACAGAGTACTCTATATTTTCTTTTTATATTTTATGCTTTATTAGGGTTTGTAAGATGATTTTTAGAACTCTTGATTACAGAAATCATGACAGATATATTTAGAGATACATTTACAAGAGTGTCATGAATATTTGGAAACTACATGTTCCATAATAAAAGAATGGTTAAAAAAACTGCAAATAGTTTGATGTATGCATTAACAGAACATTGCATCAAAAAAACCCTTGGGCAGCCTGGGTGGCTCAGCAGTTTAGTGCCGCCTTCAGCCCAGGGCGGGATCCTGGAGACCTGGAATCGAGTCCCATGTCAGGCCCCCTGCATGGAGCCTGCTTCTCCCTCTGCCTGTGTCTCTGCCTCTCTCTCTCTCTGTTTCTCATGAATAAATAAATAAAATCTTAAAAAAAAAAAAACAACAACAAAAAACCATACTTTCAGGGCACCTGGGTGGCTTGGTTGGTTAAACCTCTGCCTTCAGCTCAGGTCATGATCTCAGGGTCCTGGGATTGAACCTACATCAGGCTCAAGGCTCAGTGGGGAGACTCTTTTCCCTCACCTTCTCCCTTTGCCCCTTCTCCCTCTCATGCTGTCTCTTTCTCTCTCAAATAAATAAATATCTTTAAAAAATACCCCCCAAACAAAACAAAAAAACCCCATAGTTTCAAAGAATTTTTAATGACATGGAAAAATATTCTTGCTATAATAATTACGTCATTAGTCAATGAAATTACACAGACTTCAGTTGTCTTTATTATATATTTTTGGGTATGTTCCAAGTTCTCTAAAGTGAACATACTTTATTT